TGTGTGTGTGCGTAGGTTTATAAAAAATTGTAACTAATTTATAAATATATATTTGTATGATGTTATTTTGCATTTAGCCATCACCGACAACTGTAAAAACAAAACCCCTGAAAATTATTCAAAAATTATATGAAAGTTTGTTTGTTATCAAACCCAAAGCTACACAATGGGCTTTAGGTGCTCTGTCACTGCGGAATCGAAACCTAATTTTTAGCGTTGTAAGCCCTCAGACTTACGGATGTGCCTTTGAGATCTTTTCGAAAGTTGACTTGTTTTTTTGTTTGTTTTGTACGAGGTGGTTGTTTATTTATGATGGGACTACCTGACACTCATACATCTGCGCGTGCGCGGATATCCTACTTATGCACTATTGTTGTGTAAATTAATTTTGTTATTGATGAGATTTAATGAAGTAAGGATATAAATCAACCATTATAAATATCGAAATACATGAGAATATTTAATTAATACAAAAAAAAACACATTACATGGGATAGCCTCTTAAAATCAAATACAAAATTAACGAAAATATTGTATTATAACTAGTATATTCGCGCGCGCATTTTAATAGGAGACAAAAGGAAAAACCTTGGGCACACAAGTAGTTCTCGTTGCTATCGCCTGATTCTTGGCTCCTGCTAACATTACGAGAGAGAGTGTGTGTAATTCTATGATAATTAATATCGGTTGCACCGTCCCTAAACTTGTTCTACAAATTCCCACGATACCAATGACTGAGATTTAAACAAAATGTATAAAATCAATAATTATGAATAGTTTCTTTGCGAACCTTATCATATATATATTTCACACTTCTGTTTTCACATCTTTATTGCTCACAAAAACTTACCATTGAAGAAGTGGCTTCATTCTCCCGAACACCCGTGTATTTCGTCCTGCAATCGTATTTACCACTGGTATTAGATTTTTCTCGTTTGACTGCCTCTTTATGACTGATTGAATTTACAGTTGTATGCTAAATATTATACAAATGTATGGTAAACAAGTTCAAGGTACGTGACAACATACAGATACTGAATAACCACTAGTGTTAACCATTAAGTTATTATTTCTTTAATGCTACTTTCATTAATATTATTAGTTAGAATGTTTAATATATAAATTTTATTATTTGCGATTTCTATTACTATTACATATTCTTATTATGAATATTATGTTGTATTGTTAGCTTAGTATATGCATTTGAACTTGTTGAACCTCGTCAGATATTATTAGGATTACGGCCGAAACACCGTGAATAATGAGGATATCCTAAAGACGAAACAACGGATTTTAGTAATCATTAGGAAGTAAGAACAGTGTAATAAATTATTTAAATTCATTATGGGTTTAACTTTTAGTTCTGATTTGTGTAGATAGCTTGTTTTGATCAGAAGTCAATATTAGTTCCCAGTTACATTAACTAATGACTGACACTAGATCTGATGGAAACAGGAATACATAGTGTAAATGAATGGTATTATTCTGTTTTCATCGAAGAAGAAATAGCCTGATTATATTTTTACGCGATATCGCATATATATGGCATTTCTTTCGTCTCTTTCATCCATTTTTATTCCAACTTAGAAAAATGGGGTGGAACCATAATTATTTAATCATGGTAATGGTAACGGGTCAGCTCTGGTTTAAGATAATTAACGTCGAAATTTCGTATTGTCCAACCCAAAACTAAAATCTAAATACACTTGGAACTGCTTTGCAGTAGAAGTGTAGGCCCATTCTACGAGATATGTACCAATGATATGTGTTAGTAACAGAGCCCTGGGTTTGCTCCAAGTTACATTTATTCCTTATTAGTAAGAGCCCCACCCCCCGCAACGAAAAATACGACATCTCTTTTTAAAATGTACTGTCGAAATACTTTTGGTTATGTAGTACACATATACACACTGCATCATAACAACACATAAACCAGGGTTTCTCAACTCGTGTGTCGTAATCTATAATTGAGGTTTTCAAAATGTGTGAAAAGGTCGCAAACAGACTTTGAAAATATATAATGATTTAAGCGTTTAATTTATTTAGTAAGCCCGATATTTTTGCGTCAGAACTATTTACTGAGTTGTGACTGGCCATCAATGTTTACAAATGGGTCATGAGCCATAAGCGGTTGAGAACCACTGGCATAGACAAATTTATCTCTAATATAAACTAGTTAAAAACATGGTATTCGTAGCTGTGTTAATTCTGACGTGGGCCAGTTATAACACAATAATATCCTTTCTGGTATTTTATGTTTTGTTTTCTTTAACGCTGGAGTTCCTCTACAGTACCAGAGTTGTTCCGCTTTGTTCTACACATCAGCTCTATGATCAGTAAAACAACGTATATGGTCTTTCAGAAAGCTCCAAATCTGGACTATTAGCTTGTGTATCGTGTATTCATGTAAATACAACATGACAGTGTAAAACTTATAACAGTTTCTTAAGAAAACATAACAGTTAAAAACGCGCCGTTTTGCATTTATGGTGCTAGGTTAAGATAGCGATTTTTATTCAGTATTATGTTATTCTTGTATGTTGTTGTTGTTTTTTCTGATTAAGAGTTTGATAACTCTATATACTACTAAAACTATGAGTTTGTTTGTTTGTGTGTGTGTGCTTGTCTGTAATTAAATACAGCAAAAACGGTGCATTTGTAATGAAATGAGAATAGAACCGGAATAAAACAAGTTTCGTTAAAATCGGGCCACGGGTTACGAGTTAGCACCGTTTTTCGGGTCATTTTTCGTACATTCCATTATTATAAAACTTGGTTTTCCACTTTAAAATATCTTCTATACAACAATATATGCACAACAGAAATTAAATGATGAGATGAAAATGTGTTATAACGGCGCGTAGAAATAACTACAATAAAATGGCCCTACAATATTATTGACACTATTTGCAAATAGTACCTATGGAGACGAGGTAATAGAATAAAAATCAAGTCGAGAACAACAACAAAATTTTATAAACGAAAACCTCTCGCCGAGCATTGGCTATTATATTATTTCTCTGTCAATGTTCCCATCTTCATTAAAAGGCGTAAGATGACAAAAACAAGATCTTGAAGAATATATCTATATACTACTAAAACTCTGAAATTGTTTGTTTGCTTATTTTCTCAGTCAAAAAATCATTCACACTACCTTTCGCGCTCTTTACGAAATTTCTTACTTCACTTTTTTTGAAAAATGAAATGGTCTTTCCTTTTACTCCCGATCAACAATCAAATATCTTTTCTTGAATTATGAATAACACGAATGGATTGAAATATTTAATTAAATTATCTCAAAATAAACCTTCATTTTGGTGCAATATTGAAATTAGCTTGAACTCTTCATAACCTCTGACGGCCTTACTGGAACCATAACAATAGCCAAAGTGGGCTTTGTTACATTACTAAAGATCCGCTCGAACAGTTTGCAATGGTAAACTCATGCTATAGTTTCATACTAGCAGAAATACCCGCCCTCCGGGCAAGTATAACTACTAGTTCCTGCAGAAGGCTATTGGGCCTCACGGCCTTTTCTGCAACTGTCTGACAGTTCTACAACAATGCACTCATACTTGACATTCAATAATGTTCACCATCCACGAGAAAAAGGATTTTTTGAAATTTTAGTTTAAAAATGAGCTCTCATCACAGCATTACATCACAGAGTATATTTTATTGAAGTACTTTTTTGTAGACGCAGTTATCAATGAAAGTGTCTTGCTTTTCTGTTGCAACATTCATGAGATTTTCACTAAAGGAAAACAAATAATACTTTTAAGTTTGTTTTTGATAGTTTTATATTTGAAACTTACTCCTTTTTTGTAATTTTTATTGGTAAAATCTGAAACTTACTCCTTTTTTGTTTGTAATTTTATTGGTTAAATCTGAAACATCTTTTTTGTGGAAATTTCAATTGTTTTATTTATTGGTCAGCTGTAAAAAGACTGCCTAGTTATAAAAATATTACTCAGTTATGATTGGTGATGATCGGTGCGATAGTTTCCGAGATCTAAGTTTTGGACGTATACATTGCAAGCTCCATTATAATAAGATACCTGGTGGCGATGGCGGGTATCACAAGCCTCAGAAACACAATTTCGAACTTAATTTTTCTTAATAAGTACATAGGCTAGGACACAATTGCCTCTGAGCCATGTTTTCAGTGTGTTCCTTACCGAAACCTGTTGTTTTTAAGATAATCACCGAAACAGATTTGAAGATGTTTACTCGAATATAATTATAGTTACTCAACATTTGGAGCCACCCATTGCCGCAGCAGTAAATCTGCAAACTTATAACGCAAGAAACCGGTTTTCGATACACATGGTGGGCACAACACAGATACCTTATTGTGTAGCTTTGTGCTTAATTAAAAAAACAAAACTATTTAGATGTACTCCGGTGGGACAGTGATAAGTCTACGGAGTTTGCAACGCTAAAATCCGGGGTTCGATTCCTCTAAAACAAACAAACATAGCCAGGTGCTTAGGGCGCTCGACTCGCAATCTGCGGGTCGAGGGTTCGAATCCCCGTCACACCAAGCATGCTCGCCCTTTCAGCCGTGGGGGGTTATAATGTGACGGTCAATCCCACTATTCGTTGGTTAAAGAGTAGCCCAAGAGTTGGCAGTGGGTGGTGATGACTATCTGCCTTCCCTCTAGTCTTACACTGCTAAATTAGGGACGGCTAGCGCAGATAACTCTCGTGGAGCTTTGCCCGAAATCCATAACAAATAAAAGTACATTTTTTGCATGTTTCACACAATGTGCTCTGCCCATTGTAGAGATCCAAGCCCGAATTGTAGCGTTACAAGCCCTAAAGCTTATTGCTGAGCTACCGTTATGGGGGGCGATCTAAATTTAATATTTATATTCCTCTTACAATAAATCAGTGATATTATTTTTTTCTGCTACTCATCTTTTATATTATGTGTTTTTGTAAAGAATTCGTCGTTCTGGTAATGGAAATAAACGCAATATTTTTTTCTTTTCCAACAGTTTTCTGGACGACCTAGAACGACTCGGTAAAAAAGATTATATGCCTACAGAACAAGACATCCTGCGAACGAGAGTTAAGACTACGGGCATCGTAGAAGTTCATTTCTCATTTAAAAATTTAAACTTCAAGTAAGTGCTTAGTGATTGTTTGAACCGAAAATGTGTTTTCTTTAAGCTGAAACTGAAGAATTATTTAATATATTGACACACGGCCTCCTTTGTTGATATGTATAATATTTAAACACTAATTAGAATAAACAGAAAAACTTTCACGTCAGCGCCTTCTAGTGTCTTGTAAAACTTTATGAACGCGCTTTCAAAGAGGACAGCAATAATTTAGCAGTGAAAATGTACCCTGTATAGTCCGCTCTGAAACGTTTTTTAGCACGCTCTTTCCGTTAACGTAGGCATCAGAATTAATGATCTTATACAAAAGAAAACATATATAATAGCTTACACACATGACTAAGTAGTAATGGTAAGAAATATACGACGAAACAACTGCATAAAGAAACGCGTCACAATTTGTATATAATCAATGTAAACGAATAGATAGAAACAGTTATATATATCTTACATGTATGTATAGAGATTAATTGTCACACGGTTCTTGTTCTTGTGTCTGTGTGTGAAAGCAGACTTATAAACCGAGCTGTGTACAAAAATATTTGTTTTTTTTTCTGGTACATGTTTTACTTATGTGCATTTAAGTGGTCCCGCCAGTGGATCAGATGCAACTTTCAGGACTTTTACAAAGCTAAAATACGGGGTTAAATTAAGATAGCCTTGCGCTAAAACAAACAAAAGCAATTGAGCGTCAAAAGAAGCATTCAGCTGACACAGGCTTGTTTCTTAATATCACTCTGTGGAATTATTTATTATAGAAGTAATAAAAAAAAACTCCGTACACTTGCGCAGATTTACAAATATGCGTTCGGTAAAGAATTTCAGAAACTATACCTTCTCTGTGTACAGTATATTTAATCAAATAATGGTTAATCAAGTCACGTGAGCATATATGCTTACTGCCATAAGCTAACACCTCGTAATACTTCTCTCAAACCATAAAACCTCTCATAATTTCATCACATCCATTATTTTGTGCTGTTTGGTGAGTAATAAAATCTTAACAGTTAACATTTACAGACTTTTCCACAAAACTCTTAAGTTTATCGTTGTCTAATCGCCTTGTGATATAACAGATCAATTCAACACTTTATGATGTTATTATGAAAATAAATATATCTTATCTTCTAGCTGAAGAAATAGAAAGCATACATCTTCAATATTATTTGCCCCCCCCCCAGTGGCACAGCAGTATGTCTGGAAACTTGCAACGCTAGAAACCGGGTTTCGATACCCATTGTGGGCAGAGCACAGATAGCCCTTTGTGTAGCTTTGTGCTTAACTCCAAACAAACTAAATCGATATTATTTACTTTATTTATGTTTAAAGAAACCGCTTTACCAATTTTCTTCAATGATTAACGTATCGGACTCTGAATCAGACGTTTCTTGGTTAGCGCAACTTTACCATAAAACAAAAAAATCGTATTCAGCTCTTTGGAGCCATGGATGCATTATAAGAATGACAGTCAAATCCCTCTACTAGCCCAAGAGTTGGCGGTGGGTGGTGTTGACTCTATAGTCTACTAGGTACGGCTAGCGCTCACAGCCTCCGAATAGTTTTGCGCGAAATCCAATAAAGTATGTAAACAAGTATATATTATTAAAAAAAAGGTTTTAAGATGTGGCTTTCATTTTCCAATATAACCGTAATGATCAATTAAATACACCTAACACTCGAAATCATACATTTTAAATCGCTTTTCATATCCTACTTGGCCCGGCATGGCCAGGTGGTTAGGGCATTCGACTCGCAATGTGAGGGTCGCGGGTTTGAATCCCCGTCCCACCCAACATGCTCGCCCTTTCAGCCGTGGGGGCGTTATAAAGTGACGGTCAATCCCACT